CGCTGCTGACCACAGCACAATTTATTTTTTTGTTTTTTATATTTTCGTTTTGCTTTTTACTAATTTGCTTAATTAGCGCGACTTACATATACATATATATGCGCCAGTCTGTTTTTTTTACACGATTTAATTGGGTCTATGTATTTATTTTTATTGTTTTTTGTTTTTTTCTCTTTAGGTAATTTCAGTGGGTCTCTTCTTGACTTTTATTTTGTTTTATTCCATTTGGGCCTTTCTTATTTCTCTCACGTTTTAAGCCCTGTACAAGTTTATGGCGCAGCCTGAGAGCGCCGTCGTGAATGGTTTGGAATTGGTTGGGAGTTGGAGTTGTGGAGTACAGCTGGTGGTGGTGGATTCGAGTGTAGCAATGACCAGATCTCGAGGGGTAAACCGCGGGAATCCGGGGCCTCCATTAATGCTGGAAACGTGATGTGCGGCGTTTTGTGTAACTCGCCGTGAGAACATCGCGGCTCTGCAATCGCTCAGGTTTCGCTTCGTTTTAGATGACAGCAGCAGCGAATTGAAACGTCCAATCGGCTAGATCCAGTGACTGCCACTGCCTTTTCACGTAGATCATCGAACCAGCTTGGCTTGGCTTTCCGTTTTTTGCTCTTTTGTCTTTTTCAGCTGTGCACTTCGGAGTCGTAGTCATAGTCACAGTCAGAGTCACATTCATAATCAAAAGTCGCACTCGTAAGCCCATTTGCATACTCACATCGGCGTTAATCACTCAATTGTGTGTGGCCTTCAGAGTGTGAAAATTGCTGCAATCGCTGAATGCATGGATTGATCCAAGTACACGATCTATATGGGATGGTGATCCATCATCTGAAAGGGTCGAGCCCTTGAATTTTGGGGCTAGGGTTGGGCCTGAATTGACCTATCTACTCCAGTTTATTTCTTTAATAAGGTAGATAATTGTGAAAAGCAAGTTTTAAGAGATGATTTGAGTCATTATTTTGATTTATTTAAACTTTAGATTATATTGGAAATTATTAAAGAGCTTGCTGAAGTAAAAACTATTTATTTAAAATTTTCTAAAATTTTTTTTTTATAATCTTGGATTACTTTTACTTATATTTCCCTTGTAAGTTTGTGGATTTTTACTTAAAAAATTTGATATTTTCATAAATTCTTGATTCTTTATTCGTTTTGCTTATGGTAATTATTATATATTGTGATCCATGACTAAAGAAATTATGTTAAGATCACTGTAAAATGAAAATTGCTATTTAATTTCCTCTTATTTTTTTCTTCTTTATATATTTTCTTCAAAGAAGTGATCTATTTTCCACGATCTCTCTCGAATTAAGGTCACCAAACATTATTGTGAAATGATAATCATAATGTTACAACAATTTGATACAGATAATACATATTAGTTATTGATTTACACCAATCTTCTTGAAAGAAGTCATTTGAACTAATTTGTAGTAGTATTATTATAATGAATTAATCAAAATATAAGTCAAAAAATAAGACATGCTACATTAAAACAGAAAATAGATCAATATACAAAAAAATATATAAAATTAGAGACAGCTGCTGTGTATTTCAGCAAAATTTTTATTACCAAAGCATTATGTTTGTCCAAGATACTAGAGAATATGTGTAAATCTAAATGTAAACTTTACAAGCTATGATGAAACATCACTGAAACATCTTCCCCAAGCGAATTAGTAAGCAATCCAAAACGTTTTCCCCCTAGATGTTCCCATTTGGCTGTTGTTCCCCCAGTAATAATGATCGAAGTTGCGCCAAATCAATTTCCATTTCTACTTTACTTATACTGTATGTGTGTGACCTCAAAGCTGCCTGGTTGGCTGACTCTCTGGCAAAGCGTACAAAGCGGTACACAACAGATATATCATCCGAGAGTGGAAACCGCAAAGCTAATTGCTTATGCACAGCGCATAACCTTGCCACTCCATGACACTTCTTGCTTCGCCAGATCCGCTGAGCGAGCACTGAGACTCGAAGTCGAAACCCTTCCAAGGCGCTCGAGCGAAGAATCGGCAGTACGAGGGGTATAGAGTGGAGAAAGCTTTCATCATCATCATCATCATCATCATTTTGGTGTGCAGCAGCCACGTTGAAAAGGAATGGTTAGCAGCAGCAAAAGCAACTTGGCTTAATTGAAAATTCACAGTAATGCCAGCTAGAAAACGACAGCTGCTGCGGATAAACAAGAGGAAAAGCAGAGGAAAAGTCAAGCAGCCGACAGAGCAGAGAAAACACATTAAAATAATATAATTATTTTGTGTTTTTTCTTCTTGCCTAGACTTTTATTTCAACTTATCTTTGCTCCGCTCTTAAGCGATTTACTTCTTTCCTCTGAGATTTCCGCATGCTTTGTCAACCGTGGAACGGGCACGAACTTTCATTTTAAAATTCTCGAAGCGTGTTGCGCACACTCACAACACACACAACACACACAAGCTTAGCTCAGCTGAGCCACCCGCCCCAATTTTCTAGTGGTGTCAATTGCCGGTTAGGAGGAGGAACCTCCCAAAATCCCAAGTGTCATCATCATCATCATAGTGATCATGCTTTTTGCACTCTGGCTTTCTTTGGAAACTTTCATGGTTGTCAGCTTGGCTTAATTCTAGCCACGACGACGTGCCTGGAAATGGAAATACATTCACAAAAGCATTATCAAACATGACGAGGCCGAAAAGATTTCAGAATCGCATGCATGTAATTCGCTAATTAAAAGCCATAGAAAGTTTCCCCTTTCCATTGTCAGGGTTAAGAAGTGTTTTACACAGGCACACTTTCGATTTTTCAGCACTGGCCACCACCCATCATCATCGTCATTATCGTCATCCCAACCAATTCCATCTCGAGCACACTCGTTTCGGTTGTGAAAGTTCACCAATTTCCAAGGTGGTGTCAAAACTGAGTCCATTCTATTTTTCACACCTTTTTCTTTTACTTTTTCCAAGAGTTTTATGGCTGACGTAACATATATACTTGTATGTTTCTCGCTTGACTCGTGCCACTGAATCACTAAATTCGCCCATCGGGCACGTTATTAAAGCCAGATAAGCTTTTTCTTGGATGTCATGTGCCGGGAAATTCTGTAGCATAAAGTTGAGATGAAAAGTAATGAAGAAAGAAACCCATGTGTCATATTTGGCGATATGGTAATCATTGAGTTGAGTCCGGGCTTAATCGGTTTGGGTGGCATTAGCTTTCATCCGAAGAATCTTATCAGGGATTTTTTTCCTTGAATTTTTTTTTTGGTTTAAGTTTTGGAATATGATTCAGATTAAGCTAGAAGTGGGAGATTGTTAATTGTTAAAGATTCCAAGTATAAATTAAATTTTAAAAAATTTTAAATAGATTTAAAAATAGTTATGTCACTGGTTTTGGTTAAAAAAAAGAAATAAACAAATATTAAATTAAATTTATTTATCATGAAATCGTTTTAAAGGAAAGCTTTTGCCATCCTATTTTTGTTAGTTATAAAAAAGGCCATCGTTCTTATATCCATGCATCATCCATGTTCATCCCTGATTCATCCACGATTCATCCCTGATTCATCCAAGATTCATCCACGATTTTTCCATGTCTTAACCAAGACTTCCCCTAAACTTAACTATGATTTATCCTTTTTCTAACATTACAAAAAGAGTTTTAATTTGCTTTAACCAAATAGTTTCCCTTCAAACCAGCTTTTCATTTATTTTCCCTTCTCTTTTTAAGCCAGGCTGGGGTGGACCCAATCCCCTTTACAAGTGGGTATTTGGGTGAAGGTTATCGGGTGTTCGACTCCTTTTTTATATTTTTCGAATTTTGACACTCTGCACAGACTCCAGTCTTTAGCGTTTCCTCTGCTCCTTCCTGGTCTCCGCCTTCTTTTTATTCGTCAAGTTGGAGGTTTTCCAGTTTCTTTGGGGCCCAGCCCATTTCTTGGCCGTGTGCTTCTTTAATGATGTGTTTTAATTTTGCCTCGTCGTTTCGCTTTTTTTCCTGAGCAAGATTGCGTAAGCAGCGGATGACGCCGCTGCCGCCGCCGTCTCTTACTTTCTTTTTCTTTTGGCCTGTGCCACACAGAGTTGGCCTAAAGTACGACTTGAAAAACAGCATAAATAAGAAGACAATCTCGTGCCGAATGTGAAAAGGAACTCTCGAATTGGTTTTTGTCTTTTATATTTGTACAATTAAATCTTTAAACTTGTTGTTCCCTCGATTGTTGAGGCATTTGCATTAATTAAATGTTGATGCAGCTGGCGAAAAGCGAAAAGCCAAACAAATTAGCTGTGGAGCACCGCAAAAGTTCCGAAAAAAACAAAATACAAATAAGAAGAAACTTATAATTCATTTTCTGTAGTAAATCTAATTAACATATAAGCGGATTTTAGCTTAGCAACTCACACCAACATGCGCCTACTCAAATCACTCACATTCACAATCACATTCACACTCATTGCCAATTTACTCATGGGTGTTGTTTTTGTTTTGTGTGAACTACGCAACGAGTCGAAAAAACTCACGCGATCGCGTTTTCTAACGACAAATATAAATATATATACTTGAATATATATATACACACACAAATATATATAGAGGCAAAGGAATATTTATGCACAAAAAGCGAGCACAAACTAAATAATAAATATATACAGATATATATACATAAAAGCTTGTGGCTCTTGGCACTGTGGAAGATTACCGAAGGGGAATTTATTACAAAATTGCTGCCGATTTGGTTTGGGATTAGACGGGGATTAGGGCTTTCGTCAAAATCTCTGGCCAGTTGTTCTTGGTATTTTTGGAAGTCAATGTGTGGCATGTCACAATTATTTTATTTTTAACCCAAGAGCTATGATTTTAAGCCATGCATACCACTGTGCAGTTCTTGTGGAAAAATGTTTGAAGCCCATGAATGACACACACACAGCACGAAGAGAAGTTTTCAAAAAAGGGAATGGCCAACATAAAGTTGAAAGTTCGCTAATTCCCCCCTCGTTTTGTTATTTATTTTCTTTATTTAGAAGAAAGTTTTAGCTTAAACAAGAGTGAAAGATGCAAAAAAACAAACTGAATAAAATTAAAATGAGTGTGAGTCAACAGCAACAACAACAACAGCAAATGAGTAAATTATAGTGACAAAATAAAGCAGAAAACAGTGAAAAGTGACAGTGAATAATGTTGAGAGCTCCCACACAGCACATCGTGCAACTTGGCTTCGGAACGAAGACAACATCGACACCAACAGCAGCAGCAGCAACACCAAGTGGCAAGCAGCAGCAACATCCGCGGAAAACCCTACTGCAAAGGCTTAGGCAGCAAAATAAGCCTGTGGAAGAGACACATGATACAGAATATTATTTCACGCAGCAAAAGCAACATTCAGGTGACAAAAGTTTACTTTTTCTGGTAGCCTCAAACTCGGAGCAATTGCTAAAGAAACCCAAGAAAAAGAAGGAGCCAAGCAGCTACAATTTCACGGCGGCTCTCAGGCGCAACAAGAAGCCAAAACCAGCAACAGCAGCAGCAACAGCATTAGCCACATCAACCGACGACGACGACGGCAGTTGTCGCAGCATCAACAGCAACAGCAGCGGCAGTGCCAGCAGCAGCAACAGTTTGTCTAATAGTTGCATTAACAATCATAACAACACTCATTATAGAAACAGTAAAAACAGCACTCACACCAGCAACAATAACAACTACATTGGTAATTACAATTGCAAAACAAGTGAACAACAAGCGTGGAAAGCAGCAGAAATACAACAGCAGCAGCAGCAGCAGCAACAACATCAAAAGCAGCAACAGCAACACCAAAAGCAGCAACAACTGCTCATTAGCAGGCCAAGCGATCGACATTATCCCAGCAGTGGTGGCCACATCATGTCACCCACTTCGCAGGCGCCCACCCGAACCTCTCTCTTCGATTCCTGTCATCGCAAGATCCGTCTCATTGGCGGGGGTCCAGTTGCCTTCTTGGGCGGATTGGTTGCGTAAGTGTTGAAATATATATCCAATATATTCCCCCCATTTTGAATTGAATTTATAATGTTCTTCAAGAACAATAGACCCTGGAGAGGGGGTAGCTTAAGGCAGAGGGGAGTCCCCAATCCGGTCAATCTTCTACCAAAGTTAGGCAGTCGATTTGGTGAGAGGTGGTATCCAGTTATGAGATGATGACGCTGGTGGAAGTGTCAATCATATTGTTAGTTAAGTTATTAATTACCCAAAAAATACAAGAGAAGTTCTTATGACTAAAAAAATTACCATCATTTAAAAACTGGTAATCAAAATGGAGATTAAGAAAAAGTATTTTTAAATATTAAAAATTTAGAAGGAGATTTATTCATAATTTTGGGGTTTCAATTGATAAGACAAGTTCAGCAAAGATATATAACCCTAAAAAAACATAAACTTGAGCGGAAATATGACATTTCTAGATCTAAAGAGATATATTCCCCGAATATATATTGTTATATATTTTTCCCGCTCAGTTCCTTATGATTTATGATCTAGTTTTTGTGTTTGATAATTACTATTAATGTATTACCATCAACATTAAGCTCGTTAGCGATCAACTTTCTAAGGTCGAGTCATGGAGAATTGCACAAAGTAATAATTTGTACGCATTAGGGAAATACTTTGCTTGCCCGTGTCAGAGGTCGAACAAAGGAAGCCGAAAATAAAAAACTAACGAACAATAAAGAACGCTGAAAACAGAGCAGAGCTACAGATAAATGCGGTATTTACTCATTTTTATGGCTTTAATTACGAGCATTTCTCAAGCTGCTTTTGTGGAGTTTTTTTTTCTCATTCGGTTTCTTTTCTTGGTGACCACCAAAAGCACTCTGTGGTGTGTGCAAATTCAAGGTTCAAGCGGCAATTAAAACATCACAAGCAGTGGAAGCAGCCGAGAAGCAAACAGAAACCGAAATAGAAACTGAAACTGAAACAAAAGGCGGCCAACTAAATTTATGCCTAAAAAATAAAATAATGCGCCCCTCGAAGGTCACCTAAAAATGAGGTGGTGGTGACCCCATAGCCCCTCTGTAACTGGGCTCAAACTGATGCTGTGCTTGCTTCCTTATTTACCAGATCCAAATTTAGCCGAAAAGCAAGCCTTATTTGGTTTCATTTGAAAAGCAAAGTTAAACGAACTCTCTCGAATTACCGAGGTGAGACAACCGCAAAGCGTTGACACTCTGCCAGCGAGTGCGCTGAACTGATAATTAGTTAGGAAACCAAATATTGACATACATGAGCAGCCATAAATATATACTATAGAAATAGGAATTCTATATAACCGGGAAGATGTACCCGTGGGGGGTGGAGTTTGGGTTCTGAGTTAACGACTTGTTCGCTTGTTTTTTGGGGGTCGTCTTTGTAAATGCAACTCACATAAACACACACTCGGCTACTCCACCTCCTCCTCCAAAACAATGACTAACTGTATGGGTATACAAGCCAAGCAGGAGAACCGAAACTCATAACAGCAGTCATTTGTTAAGCAACCAAGATGGAGGAGGAGGAGGAGGCGGAGTAGGAGTTGCAGGGAAGGGCGCATTATGAAAATGATGATGATAAACCTGTCGAGCCAATAGACCCACAGAGAGTGTCAATGGCACACTGAGCTACCACCAGACCCAAACCCAAGACCCGGCGTTGAAAGAATTTACATAATAATGCTCAAAAGTTTTTGATTGTCTTATTTGCTTTGGTTTTCTTCAAGAAGTCCAAAATTTGAATATAAAAAATAGAAGCTAACCCATGTAAACAAACAAAAAATTTAACAAAAACTGAAGTCTTTATAAATGAGGAATATTGTCTTCGTTCAAGAAGAAACACAACTGTACTTTTGGAGGTAATTGAACACAAAGAAAATATCCGCAAAATGATTTGTTCACACCCAAGAAGCTTCCTGGTTGGCTTTGTCAGCAATATGCTAATTATTTTGGTGGATTTTTATTCAAATAAAATGTTAAAAAAATATATTTGTTTAACCCAAACTACTATTCAGAGCTTGGAGAATTAGTTGTTAAATTTCAGACTGACTAATAGGTCTTAAATCTTAAAATATAATTTATTATATTTTCAAATAAGAAGTCAGAGCTAGTAAAACCTTTTAATATTTCGAAACACGACTGTTTTGTTAAAAAAAGTAATAATAATAATAAGTGGTAATATTTAAATAAAGTACTTTTCAATTTTTAAAAGTCCTTGGTCACACTAAGTAGGCTCACAGGATCATAAACGCTTTTGGTCGCACTGAAAAAGTCTAATTTATCCTTTAATAAGTTGTTGCCTGGCAACCAGAGTTTCACTCAACCAGCAAAGAAGGAAATGGACACCGCCTTCAAGTCTTTACCCCTCCAAGCCCTCTGGCTTCAAATACCTCTATTACAATGGGTCCACTCCGCTCCAGTGAAGTACATACATGTTACTTGCACTTTTTTCTTATAGTAATCCTAGCGTGTGTGTGTGTTATATACTCCCCTGTTGGACCATTATTAATCTTGGTTGCTATAACATTTTCCCCTGCCCTTTGGCCAGCTGCTCCTCCAACTTTGGCTCGTTGGGTTTCTCGCTCCACATGTTTTGGGGGCCCCCGGACATTGGGCTTATCATATGGCCGGGAGAGCTGGCCGTTGCTGTTACCGTTTCTGCTCCAGCTGGTAGCTAACGTTTTAATTTCCTGTCCCAATTTAATATGTTTTGTATGCCATGCCGGTCTTTTATAGCCTTGCCCATTTTGCTTTTGCTGATTTACGATTTACGAGCGCAATCCATTTTTGGCCAGAGACTGAGAGAGATTTTTGCAGAATTTAGATTGATGTAGCTGGGAGTCCCAGTAAGCTTTCCATTCCGTTCTCCATTAGCTCCGATTGCTAATCATCCGGACCTTAACCCGCCGCCGACAAACAGCTGTCACAGACAGCCACCTTGGGGGCTCGTATTCAAAACGAGAACAGGTGCTCTGGCGATCCCAAGCTTCTGTTGCCGTCGTTCATTGACACTCCACGCACTGGACCACTTAATGACTAACTGACTGACTGACTGAGTGACTGTCTCACTGACAAAGGGAACAGCTGTGGCGGAGACAAAGACAAAGCGCCTCCGGATCAAGCTGGAATTAGTGCAGCCAGCAGGCGTATCAAGGTACTTGGAGTTCGTTACGATTACCTGCTGGCTACAACGGCGAACCAGCGATGGGGAACCAGGTAATTAGCCTTCCAGAGGAACCCAAGAATTAGAACTTGAAATGTTCTTTGGGTATATAGTATATATCATTGCCTAACTTATACTTGTACGTGAAATGTAACCTGTTTTCTGGTAATTAATTATAAGCTTAATATTTTATAAATTTTATAAGCTTTTGAATTTGTAATTTAATGAGCTAAATATAGTATTAAAATAATATTATAACTGTCTAAAAAATCACCAGATTTCTTTGTAAGTCAAGATGACCCACTGATTGACCTCTAAAAAACCCAACGGCACATTTAGAAAAAATGGCTTAAATCTTGAGAGCAATTACTTCTCCGTTTTGGTAAGAGAAACAATTGCCATAAAACCAACTGTGTTCTTTTGCGTTTGAACCCGCGACCCCTAACCCACCGACAATTGTGCAACGGTAGCCGGCGGATAACGTTAGCTGTCCAGATGCTGAATGTAATTATTTGACCATTAGCCTGAAGATTTGGAACACGAAGAGGAACCCAGAGCCAAAGCAGTAAAGGTCAGCGGAAATTTCCAATTCACCAAAAGCCACTTTAAGTTCAAGCTGAAGCCAAAATGTTGACAATTGTAGCTGAAGCTTCAAAAAAGAGGCTATAAGACTTGTAGGTCTCTCGGTTTAAAAAGCCTTAAAATAAGACCATCAATTGTCTTTTTTATGTCTTAATGGACTGTCTTTGTGGGTTTGGTCTCCAGTAATTGCCACCACAAACACACTTTGCCAACTTTTATGGGTTTTCTACAGTGTATTTGTATTTTCAATTTCACCCGCATGCAAAATTGCAGAAGCAAAAAAAAAAGTGAGTAATGTATAGCTCATAAAAGTTTACCTTGACTTCGGACCAAGTTCCGGCTGTGGCTCAGCCAGCGCTTTTCCTCTCTCTCTCTCTCTTTCTTTTGGCCGCTTTTTAATCCATTTAGCCACATGTGATGGCCCGTCATCAGCTGCCATCCATCTACCTGTCGTTGGGTAGCCTCTCCCCACCCTCTCTCCTCCTCTCTTTCTCTCTTTTAAATACTTTCCATTATTATTATTATTACTTTGTGTCTTTTTGCCTTCATCAGCAAAACATTAATGTCAGTCACCCGACTTTGGTCTTTGGATGACCGCTGGAAGGTGTGGTGTAGTTGGGGGCCAAATGAGTCACCCACAAAAACGAACACCAAAATCCAACAGCTGCTGTCGTCAGCTGTGTTTGCGAGAGAGAGACTCTTCTCCCAGTTAGTAGTTAGCAGTCTCCAGTAACCAGTAACCAGTCAGAGCCAGAGTCTACCGTCACCAGTCACCACTTACCAGTTACCAGTTCCCATTCCCAGCCAATAACTTGGCTCTCTCGCTCAGCATGCGATGATTCTGGTTATACCGCGGCAAACTTAAGTATGATGAGTTGTACTGGATTCACATAAAGATGTCTAAAAGAAACATGTTATTCAGCAACTAGATCTAGATCTGAGATGTATTTTTCTAAGATATAATCAAACCGGAACCCGGTACAACTTTATTCTCATGGGAAATTAAATTTAAAATGCATTATTAAAAGAAATTTCTATATGGGTTTCTTAACATCAATTTAAGCTTACAAAATTCCGCAAAAATACTATATAAATTCTTTAATAATAAGTTCAAACTAACCTCTAAGAAACAGGGTATTTACTCTTAGATATATTGGTTTTCCTACCCGTTTTTCGTATGCTGACTGAGTGCCACAGCCGAAAAGCCAAAGCTGGCAAAACGGTACTTTGCGATTTATAGCCGGGG